GAGGACTGTTCTTTTTTTTTTTTTTTTTTTTTTTTTCTTTCAATTTTTTTTTTTTTTTTTTTAATCTTTCCTTAAGTGTGAACACCATCTGGCTCCCCCAACTCTGTCAGCGCTTCCAGTCCCCAGGCAGCTCTGCTCTTAGTAATTATTGTCATTAGGCAGTGGGTAGCAATTAAGGAGGGATGCTGACGAGCACGTCAGGAAGGCTGTGGTCCCCCGACAGCCTCATGCAGGGGACCGGGCGGCCGCTTCTCCCCAGCCCAGGGCCTCTTCCAGCTGGGGAGCTTGGCAGGTAGCACGGTGGTTTCTTTTCTGGTAGGGTCTGATGGGGCGGGGATGGGGAAGGGCTGGCAGGTCTGAGTCTTGAGGAGTTGCCGGGGAGGGCTGGCATTGTGGGGATGGGCTGCTCCGGGGAGCGGGGCGATGGCAGAGGCACTCAGAGCTCGCTGCATCCCAGTCTGACTCTGGATGCCCCACCGCTCCGTGCCTGCTCTGCCCACAGGTGACCAGCCACCAACGATCATTTGTCCCGGGGAGCCCAGAGGCCATGGTGATGGGCTTCGTGACCGGATGGTGTCAGGCCCAGCTGTCACCCTTCTGTCTACCCAAAGTGGGGATGGCCACCAGCCTGCCTGTCCCTCCCTGGCTCCCCGCGCTGCATTTGGGCGCTCTTGCAGCAAGTGGGGTGATCGGAGGCTGTACCCAGAGACGGGCGGTCACTGTTGGACGTTGGCCATCAGAGTGTGGCTTCGTGCATGGGATAAAACGGTGCCCGCCTCACCCTGCCTGCCATCAAGCTCCAGCACCCACAGAAAGCCTGTGGAGGGGCGAGCCGGGTCAGTGGGGGCCTGTAGGGGTGTTTTGGGCTGGAACAGCTGGGCCTGTGGGTGAACTGTCAGGAGACTAAACTGGTCGGTGAACCAGCAACGGGAGGAGAGAGGAGAAACTGAGGGAGAAGGACCCAGGCGGGGAGGCTGCTGGAGGGAAGCCGAGCACTTTGGAGGCTGGGGAGCCTGTGGAATTGAGGAGGGCTTGGCAGACACAACCGGTGGCGGCAGAAGACCCTTGGCCATTGTACCACACTCTGTTGGCCAGCTGGCTCCTGCCTCTAGGATCAGGGATGAAAACCTCCCCCCATCCCTAGAGGCACCAAGGCTTTCGTCCTTGTCCTGGTTTCAGCTGGGATGGAGTTCATTTTCCTCCCAGTAGCTGCTGTGTTTTGGATTTAGTAGGAGAAGGATGTTGATAACACTGATGTTTTCTCTTGTTGGTATAACTCAAGTAAT